GTGCAAGTCGGTCCGTTAAAGGACGAAGTGCAATGAATCTAGTGTTCACGAAGGTTGGAGCCGCTCCTGGACCGAAGCTTTCCATTCAGTTTATTTATATTTATTTATGGAGGCTTCAGCTGCAAACAAACAGAAAACGGAGCAAAGCCATCGATCAGAGCTGCTGTCGGCTGTGAGTCACGAGCCGAAGTGCAGCACTTTATGTGCAGCAGCTATAGGAGGATGGAGCGCTGCGTTCGGCTGAATAAATAGAAATGTAGGGAGTGTGAGTGTCCAGAGGTGAGCTCCCTGCAGAGCTCTATTTGTGTCTGAGAGTGGGCCGGATGGATGGAGCGCCTGCAGGCGAGGGAGCACCGACACGTTCAGGCTTCGACTCCGTTTCTTTCAGCTCCTGAGGACTTTGTCTTCTCATATCCCAGCATCCTCCTCTGTCCCCCCCCCCCCCCCCCACACCACCACCACCACAGCCTCCTGTCCACACACAGGAAGTCTTTAGTCAGGGTGTTACAATCTGCAGGTTTCCTTCTGGTGTTGGTCCACCATCTTGTTTTTATCAGCCTGGTCTGAACCTGAAAGAGTTTATTAACGGCAGCCTCTGAGTGAGAGAACCGGAGTGTCCGGTAGTTTTTGACCCTTTGCTACAAACGTAGAAACACTTTGAATCCTTCACGCGTTGCATTTTGGTTATTATTTGCAGAGTGTAATCAATGGGGGCTCGTCCGGGATGAGCTCACTCTTTCATTTTGTTTCTGTGACCGATTGTAGTCCTGGATGTCACTACACACCGCCATCTCTCCAGGCTCTCTTCCACCTGCAGGGAGCAGGTCAGCTCAGGATCTGGTTCAAGACCAGGTTTTGGATCAACAACAATCAAACCAACAAACTGACGAGACAACAAATACACGCACACGCACACACAGGTCAGCAGGTCCATAGGTGCAGGTGGAGGACAGGTGATTTTGTCCACTGCATTCAGCAACTTTCAGCTGTTTGTAGTTCGAAGACAAATAAATAATGAAGACAAATGTCCTGTCTTCTGTGGAGGACAAACTAAAGAAGACAAATGTCCCGTCTTCTTTGGAGGACAAAGTAAATCTTCCCTGCGGCTGTCCTCTGCTGCCATTGAGAGACTCTGAAGCAGCGAGGACATAAATCCTGTGGAGCTCAGCCGAGAGGAGACGGCTAAATACCTTCAGTTTTCACAGAGACAGGAGTTCTGCTGTCCTCCGGTTCCTCCGGTTCTGACCCAAACATTCATCATCACGGTCACCGACGCGTGTCGTTCTGGACATGAAGAAACCTGCGAGCTGTACGTTGTGTTGTTTCAGAAACTGAACCGAGGAAGGTCGAAGTCCTGAAGGACGTCGTACGCCTGAATGTCCCCGCTCGTGTCCTCTGTGGACGTACAGCCGTCCGTCCGTGCGATGAGCCGCCTCGGGGCTTCTTTAGATGTGAAGTCAGATTTTTCTTCATCTGTTTGATTTTGAACAAACTCGTTTTTCTGCTGCGATCTTTGAGATCAAAGAGAAAATCTGTTCATCGTCTGATTTAAGATCACCTGCAGTTGATCCCACGTTTACCTGTTTACTTGTTTACCTGTTTACATGTTTACAGGTTTACTTGTTTACATGTTTACCTGTTTACCTGTTGTCTCGTTTACCTGTTTACCCATTTACCTGTGTTCCTGAATGAAGCACAGCCTGGTTTTGGGCCAAATATCCACTCATGAGACTGGTATGGACAGAAGACCAGGCCTACCTGTGGTTGACCTTTGACCCACCCTGGAGCCAGGCCTGGGGGAGGAGCTTGACGGCAAGTACCTGGTGCCCAGTCCTCTTCCCATGGGGCCCGGTCGGGTCATGGTGCCGCTCACAGTGACTGTCTTGTCGCTCTGACCCGAGCTTACTGAATCTGGCTGTTGTGACATGTGATGTCACGTCTCTGCAGGGGGAGGAGCCTGAGGACTAAAGGTGTCGGCCCATGCTCTGATTGGTCGGGTTGGGGGTTCTAATGCTGTATGCTGACCAATGGACAGAATCAGAGGAGAGGAGGGACAGATGGAGAGGAGGGCGCGATGGACAGAACCAGAGGAGAGGAGGGACAGATGGACAGAACCAGAGGAGGAGAGGGACAGATGGACAG